CAGTGCTGAGGGAGCGCCGCGCTGTCGGAGGGTCAGTGCTGAGGGAGGGCCACATTGTTGGAGGGACGCACTGTTGGAAGGTTGGTGCTGAGGGAATGCTGCACTATCGGAGGGACGTACTGTTGGAGGGTTGGTGCTGAGGGAGTGCCGCACTGTCGGAGGGACGCACTGTTGGAGGGTTGGTGCTGAGGGAATGCTGCACTATTGGAGGGTCGAATGGATTCTTGCTGCCAGTTACCATGCTTGGTGCTGCATCGAAGCCTGAAATCCAACACCTGGTAAATCTTCGCTTTGGGATCTTTTCGTGGATCGTACCCGAACCTGACCCAGAGACTCCGCCAGGGCCCTGTAAGCTGTAACAAAGAATGTAAGGGGAGGGGAGATGTAACAAAATTAGTCCTAAAAAAAAATAAAGTTTTAAAGCTAGAAGGGAAGCAGCCATTGGCTATTGTTTGATTAATTAATTTCTTGATATAAAGCAGGAACATATGAGGGTCTTATGATGCAGCTGATGTCCCTAACTCTCCCTAACATTCAAATCAGACTCGCCCTGAAGATGTAACCTAACATGTCCAAACAGGTTGATTAAAAATATTTTTTATAAAGAGGGAAGAACAGGGATTTGAGGAGAGAACTGTAGGACTGGTATAATCAATAAACACTCTTCACAAATAAAATCTATGTCTCTTAGTTTGACTATCCTGGTTAGAATCTACTAACAGTTGCATTATTAATGTATCTGTCAGTCTGCTCTAATGCTTAAACATGACATCTATTCACTGTTCACAGGTTAGTGCTATGGGGAAGAAACCTGGTTTAAGTGATATCACAGACAAGCTCTGTGAGAATCTGGTATTATATGATGTAATTGTGCCATCCAGTACAGCGTTAGAAAGGAGTGGGATGGTGCAACTCATAGTCGGAGAAACAAAGAAAATAGATGTATTGGTGGGCCATTCAGCTCTCTCAGGCTACTCTGCCATTCATTTTGATCATAGCTGATCATCCACTCAGTACCCTGTACCCACTTTCTCCCCATGTTCTTTAATCCCTTTAACCCTAAGAGCAATATCGAAATCCTTCTTGAAAACATTCAGTGTTTCGCCCTTAATTACTTTTTGTAGCAGGGAATTAGATAGGCTCATCACTGTCTATGCGAAGAAATTTCCCTTCATTTCAGTTATAAACACCTTACCCATGCCCTGAGACTATGATCCCTGATTCTGGACTCCCTGGTCATCAGAGATATCCTTCCTCCATTTACCGTGTAGTCATAACATCATACACCCCGGTAGAATTTTACAGGTTGCCCTCCCCAGCTAGAAAGACCTTAAGGCCTCAAGAAGTTTCAAGCTGATCAAAGCTCAGCATCACCCTGAGTTGATCCACTCTGTCCTCATCTACCCAAGCATCTCTCACACCAAGGATATCAAAAGACCAGGACACATCAATCCTCCGCAATCAAGCCTGAAAATAGTACCAAACACAATTTGTAATTAGAAAGATACTACAGAAATAAGTCTCTGAATTCAATAAAACCTTCATTACAAACTGAGTTCACACCTCTCCCACCACAGCAGATCGATTTCTTTCCCCTTTGTTCTTGAGGGTGAGGCCCGTACTGAGAAACGATGACTGTACTCTCCTTGCCCATGCACCCCCCCAACACATACACATACACATACACACACACTCTCTATCTTATGTTGCTACCAATTCTTCTTAAGTGAACTTAAGATATCAAGTTATTCAAAATTCCTTTAATGGGATGTGGATGTTGCTGACAAGGCCAGCATTTGTTGCCCATCCCTAATTGCCCGTGAACTGACTGGCCTGCTAGCGCTATTTCAGACAGCAGTTAAGAATCAACCACATTGCTGTAGGTCTGGAAGAAGAATGAGAGGCGACTTTATTGAAACAAATTAAGATTCTTAGAGGCCTTGACAAGAATAGATGTGGAGAGCTCGTTACCCCTTGTGGGACGGATCAGAACCAGAGGTCATAATCTCAGAATTAGCGAATCTGGAATTTTTTACCTCAGAGAGCTGTGAAGACTGGGTCATTAAGTATATTCAAGGCTGATATAGACAGGCTTTCAATCAGTAAACGGAATCAGGATTATGGACAAAGGCAGGAAAGTGGGAGTTGAGGATTATCAGATCAGCCATGATATCATTGAATGGTGGAGCAGACGCGATGGGCTGAATAGGCTACCTCTGTTCTTACATCTTGTGGTCTTATAGTCTCACGCTCAGGCCAGGCTGGGTTAGAATGGCAGATTTCTTTCTCTAAAGGATGTTCATGAACCAAACAGGTTTTATAACAATGACAACAACAACAACAACAAATAACAATGACAGTTGTCAAGCTTGCCATTACTGAGACTAATTCCAGATGATTTTTTAATTAACTGTATTTCAATTCGATATCTGCTGTGGTGGGATTTGAACCTCTGCCCCCTGATGCCTGGGATGTTGGATTACTCGTCCAATGACATTACCACACACCATCCTCCCTGGTGCTGTCACCTATTCAATTTGTTGGGGAAGGAGCCACAGTTCACACTTTAGCAGGGGTGACAAGCCAGTGACAGAACCAGTACCTGGATAATGCACAGAGACCCACAGAGAGACACTCACATCATTGACGCAGTCTGTACACTTCACTGTTAACGACAGCATGTGCAGTTTACCATCACACTGGACAATGCATTTGTGAACTGGACTAATCAGTGGAACCAAGTTAAAGCAGCGACTCACCATGTAATAGGCCACAAAAGGCAGAAGCAGCTTCAGTTTGTCTGGGTGAATGTCAATATTCGACTTCACAGCATTTCGGGACCAGATGGGTCGGATTTCGAAGAGCTGTGTAGGCACAGACAGACGTGAACAATCCTAATTACACTCTTTTCTCTTTAAAGCTTGTGGATACATGACTAATTCTTCACTAGCAAAGGGAAAAGACATAGTCACCCAGCGTTTGCACTGAGGGAGAAATGGCTCCACATCAGAAAAAGTCCATTTGTGCATCTTCCTCAGGCAGCTGGGGAATTTAATTTTAAATATTTTAATATTCCACAGCACTGCACACGGTGAGCCAAAACTAAATACAGACTTCAGACAGTTGGCTTAGAACAGCTCTATGAAGTGCCCCAGCAAGCTGCTTAATTTGTATCAGCATAGGCAAACCTGCAATTTAAGTAAATCCCTCCCCTGGAGGGACTTGCATTTACACTGTGCTTGTCACAAACTCAGGATGCCCCAAACAATCTCAGAAAAAAAATGAAGCACTTTTGAAATGTTGTCACTGTTGCAATGTAGAAAACACAGCAGCTAATGCAGAAAGCTCTGCAGACTGTAAAGTGCAAACAAGGAGATAATCTGTTCTACATGTTAGCTGTGGGATAAATATTGGCAGGACAGTGCCCTGCTGTTCTTTAAAACTTTAGTTCAAAAGTGGTGCTGATCTGGAGAAATACCAGATATAGATGAAGCACAGACACCTTCATCACTCACCCTCTTCAGCTCCTCTTCAGCTTTCCGGTCTGTGGTCTGTGTGTTGAATTTCCTCCAGTTCTGAACAGCAGCTTCAAGAGGCTGGGATGGCACCTCTGGATCATCAAAATTCACAAATATGGCATTGTGAGGACGGCGAGCTCGCCCCAGGCCAATCAGGTTCTCGTTGGATAGTTTTGGAGGATGGTAACCATCTCTGCAAACAGGGAAAAGCAAAAATAACTCAAACAAACTTCACTGGAATGTTTTCACAGAAACTGGATATTTGACTGTTCTCTCATTAGGTAAAGTTGCCACAGTCTTACTGGACCATAGAGCTGCTCTCGCTTTAGAGTGAATCAACCGGTGGTGGTTTAATTTGAGGGTCACTTTGCCTCAGGCATGGGGACGACTTGAAAAGGACAGTCCTTCATGGTAGCCTCAGCTGGTGCAGGGAGTTAAACCCAGGCTGATGGTGCAATTCTGCAGCCTTCCAGCCAACTGAGCTAACCGACCCCCATCACCACCACCCCCCTTTTCAATAGCAAATAAAAGCTGACATAACTAAAGAACGGAATCCCTCTCTCATCGCTCCTCTTCTTTGTGATCCCTAAACAGTGGGTGGAGATCTATTATAAAACCCACACACTGCCAATCTGTAACTGGCTCTTTGGAGAATGTCATTGATTTCCTATGTCAGTTTGCCATTACTAACCATGTGCCAATGCGACAAAATACAGATCTGTTAACAGGAAGTATTAACTTTCATTTTTATAGCATCTTTTATGATCCCAGGGCACGCCAAAGCAGTCTGGAGTCATTTCATTACTTTTTGAAAAGCTATAGCTTAAGGAAACCCTGCAGCTCTTCTGTGCAAAACAAGGTCTCATGCACATCAATGAAATAGTGATTAGACGATCTGTTTTAGCTCCCAGATGACAGATGGATATTGCTCTTTGAATCCTGCCTTGAAATCTCTCACATCCAAACACCAGTGGGTTCTTATTTGAACATTTCACCTGAAAGGCTGCACCTCGAACAATGCAGCACTCCCTCAGTAACTGCACTGCAATGTCAGCCTAGATTAGAAGTTCAAGACCTAGACTAGAATTCACATCGACAATCCTGAACTCAGATGTGAGTGTGCTATTCCACTCAGCCACGGTGACGTGAAGGCACAGAAATTACCACAAGGCCACTCACATTTGCCTCACATGGACATATGTCCCTCTCACCTACAACAGCAAGTGATGAGCTGCAGAATATCACTGACAAAGCCTCAAAGTAAGTCAGTTGGCTTTGCGGGACAACAGGAGGAGGAATGAGAGCCAAAATATAACAGTGTAATGAACTTAGAGCCATCAAGAATCACTCAGAATACAACCTTATGGAGGTGATTACACTCTTGCTTTGATGATGCTGCCCGGGCAAATTTAAAGCGTTGAACTGGAAACAGAAAGTGTTTCAGAAACTTAGCAGGTCTGGCAGTGTTGCTGGTCAAACAAAACAGAGCTAATGTTTTCAGTGCAAAGAATCTTCACTGAAAGCGTTCTGTTCCAAAGAAGAAACATATCAGACTTGAAATGTTAATTCTGTTTCTCTCACCCTAGATGCTGCCAGGCCTGCTGAGTGTCTCAGATTATTTCAGATTTCTGACATCTGCAGTATTTTGCTTTTAACAAGTTGAAACCCCAGCACTGAATGCCTCTACTGACCTGTGCTGGACTTCTGGCCGGTAGTAATAATCCACAGGGTTATCCACACGGGAAAATATCGGTGGAGGAATGTAAAGTGGCAAATCCTGGTCAAAAAACTCTCTGTGTTCAGGCTTACGGAGAATGACCTTGTCATACATGGACACTTGCGAGCCACTTGCTGTAGTGTGCATGACCAGAAACTGGAAATCGGACATTCCTATCAGACATAATCAGAAGACCCACATTTATTAAATTTGGACTTATAGTGAGGGAAGGTGTCAATGAATCAGGATGCTAGCGCAGGCTTGTACTCTTTAGAGTTTAGAAGAATAAGAGGAGCCCTCTCAGAGGGTGGCACAGTGGTTAGCACTGCTGTCTCACAGTGCTGGGTTTGGTTCCAGCATTGGCTGACTGTCTGCTTGGAGTTTGCACGTACTTCTTGTGTCTGCGTGGGTTTCCACCGGGTGCTCCGGTTTCCCCCTGCAGTCCAAAGAACATGCAGGTTGGGTGGACTGGCCATACTAAATTGCCCCGTAGTGTCCAGGGATGTGGAGGCTAGGTGGGTTAGCCATGGGAAATGTGGGCTTACGAGGATAGTGTGGGGAAGAGGGTCTGGGAGGGGTGCTCTTCAGAGGGTCAGTGTAGAATCAATGAGTCAAATGGCCTCTTTCCACCCTGTAGGGATTTGATGATTCTATGAGGATAGACATTTTGTCAAATTCCATACTACAGAGGGCTGCTGGGGCTGGGTTGTTAAAATATGTTTAAGGCTGAGATGGATAGATTTTAACCAGCAAAGGAGTCGAGGGTTACAAGATAAGACAGGTAGGTGCAGTTGAGGATTATCAGAACAGATGTGATCATACCAAATGACTAAGCAGACTCAATGGGCCATATGGTCTACTTCTGCTCTTATATTTTACAGTCACCTCAGCATAATGGTCACTGGTTACATTTCTGCAGAGTTTCATTCCCATTGTATCTCCTCAGTTGTCACCAAAAATTCCTGAATCAATAGAAATTTTTTACATCAACCACCGCCAAACTTAGGCTGTCATTGAGTCAACACAAACAGTTATTTCCCCAGTTCTTCAGAGGCATTAAATAGCATCCACACACAACCCAAGAAGGCATTACCCTGGAATTTATAAGTGGTCCCAATAAGTCCAAGGATTTCCATTTCGTATTTAACCTCCTCTCCTCTGCCTTCCTCCACAGGAGATGTTCCTGCTGTCATTTTTCTCCACCTCCTCTTTACCCTGAGCAGCATGCTGGTTGACGGGAAACGGTTTGCACACACTGGGTGGCAGTAAGGGTCATTTGGGCGGAAGTGCAGTTCCAGCCTCCGGGACGGGTCAGCATAGGTCTATACCAAAGTAAACAGGTTTAGAAGGATTATTGCGTGAATAGTGGCTGTACAACAGAGTGAAAGATAATAAACAAGACTTGCAATAATATAGCACCATTATGGCTACCTCCTGGCAAATTATAAGCAATAACATATTTAAATGTTGCAATGCAGAATATGTGCTAATATCCACTCTGTAAGATCCCACAAAGACCAATGAGATATGACTTGTTTAAACAGTTTAAAAAATCAAAACAAATTTCGGTGTAGTGGGAGATTTAGTCTGTTTCTAACCCCATACTGTCCCTATCCTGGGAGCGTTTTATAAAAACAATGTAGAAAGAGCTTTACTCCATATCTAATATTGTTTTGGCCCCTATCCAGCGGGTGTTTACTGAGGATAGTGTAGAGAGAGCTTTACTCTGTACCTAACCCCATGCCATTCCTGTCCTGGGAGTGTTCGATGGGGACTGTGGAGAGAGTTTTACTCTGTATCTAATCCCGTACTGTCCCTGTCCTGGGAGCGTTTAATGGAAGTGGAAGTACTTAGTGGGGACAAGGGTGTTTAATGGGGTGGGGGTGTTTATTTGGGGTGGTGTTTATTGAGGATTGGGTGTTTATTTGGGGTCGGTGGTGTTTAATGTGGTAGGGATGTTTATTTGGGGGTGGGGGCATTTATTGGGAGGTGAGGTGTTTATTAGGGGTGGGGATGTTTATTTGACGGTGAGGGTGGGGTGGGGGTGTTTATTTGAGGGTGGGGGTGTTTATTGGGGG